CTCTAGCATTTTTCGTTTTATTAATGTCCCAAACTGATGACGAGAAATACTTAGCTGTAGAGAAAGCCTTCATGAGATAAAAGTTCACAAATGGAAATGTAATCCTCATAGGAAAATTTAGTTGCTAAGACCTTACGAAACTTATATAATTTGGACATACCTCTGATTACGCGTCCTCTGATAATGTGTTGGATAAGGATAGCATAGGAATTATGAATAATAGAAATGAGCGATTACTAGACTCTTGAAAAATGAATGTTATTTATAAAAAAATAAATTGAAATACCAGAAAAAGTAACAAGCACCTAAATAAGATATGGACATGGGTTAAAAGTAATAAGGCTTAAGACGATTTATACAGTCCTACGAAGATGCATTTGCATGTAAGCCCTTTGAGTCTGACATCCGACTAACCAAGTAAATTGGAGTAACTGCCTTTGAGATAGATTGATATTGGCATACGTTTTATTTCGTTTGAAAAGGCGAGTGGAAGGTGTAGAAGGTTTCCGCACCGGATACCGAAGGAGAATGGGTTTGGACTTTTGTCTGTTGAATTGTGTAAAGAAGTCCTCGGCTCAGTGTCCTCGACCCCGACGACTCAGTACTGAGCTTTCGTCCGTCGTGTGAAGAACATCGTAAAAGCCAGATGTCATTATTCACGAACAGTCACTCAAACTAAACTAAAAAGGTGGCAGGCTGAGAACCTAATTACTTTTTAAGCCTCACCTTGCGATCTTAATAAGGAATTTTATGATTAAGTTGGCTGCTTTAGGCTTGGGCTACATGCAAGTGAAGGAAAGTGATGTAGGGAAGGAAACGGATTTGGTCACAACTTTTGTCTACGCAAATTAACTAGCGTAATCCTGAGGCTTGGTTTAGCATTGCGAATGCGGGTGCGTTGAATGTATGTAACACTCATAAGTTGGTTGGTTCGGTATCCCGTAAGGGCAATTTTTGAATCCCTTCCACCAGCCTTCTCAAACGAAATGATAGGGATTCTTCAAAGCCCAGCTTCCCATCAAACTTGAGATAGATTCATTGCACACAGACCTCCAAAATATCTATACAAAATAGTCATTATCCATGTTTAGGTAGTCTCTATAAATCTCCCTTGGGCTCGGTCATTTCAGACATTTTGCTATGAAATGTTGCGAATGTAAATCTATTGAAAGTACAAAAGCAAAATGATAAGTGAATTCGTAAGATTCTAGCATATATCTCGTCAGAAGAATACATGAACGTTATCAAGGCTTATTCGATAATAATAAAGAAACTGGCTCCTTTTTTGACGTTGAAATTCTTAACTATTATCGAATAAGCCTTGATGCCACTCAAGTATTCTTCTGATGAGATATATGTAAGAATATATAAATATCTTTATATATATATATATATATATATATATGCCAGTAAGTATGCACGTAAGTATGTTTTGTATTACATGCGAAAAGAGCACCTTGAAATGCTAATCCTATCGGATGTACCTCAAGAGCAATTGGTATTTACCTGAGCGTTGATGGAGACATGACATTTGCATGCCGAGCCATGTTAGCTCGATCTTGTGACAGTGAGGGCGCCACCACTCCGTGCTTCTCGCTTGGCAGAAGTAATTGTTGGCCTGACCTGGTCTTCACTGCTGCATGAAAATCAAGACAAGGGTCGGACCTCGGCTCCAGCCGGTCCGAAGGCAATTCGGAATTCTCCGCCTCTGCTACGTCTTGGTTAGAGAGCCAGCGTAGTTGAGGAATGCCATCAGATAATGCTTGAGAGTGTGAAGTGCGTAGCTGGTGGTGATTCTGAGGGTAATAGACACGACGCTGATGAAGTAGCTTCTGATGAGTTTCCAGATGAAGAGAAGAGGCACAGGGATCGTCCGCTATACTATGCCGACCCAAGGATAACTGGGGAAACGAACTTTGTGGAATACCGCCGTCTTCAGCGGACGGCCGATGGGTACTCAAGGGTCGGGCCCAAGTGGTGTCTGGGCCAGTCATCATAGTTGGCTGATTTGGTGGCAAATGATATGGAGACGAAGATCGGTCAGGATCGGTGTTACTTTTGCCAGTCAGTATTGGGGCTGTCGCTGCTGGTGATACAGGAATAGAGCGGGCAGAGGAAGGAGCTAAGAAC